TGCACATCCAAGTGGAGACAGACAGTCAGGATCTGGGTGAAGGTGCAAGGAGAGGCTGTTTAATGAGGACCAACGTGACCTTACTGCTTTGTATATTAGAATATAGATGAGGCTCTAGATCAGGGGTGCTCACGCTTTTTCAGCATGCGAGCTACTTATAAAATGATCAAGTCAAAATGATCGACCAACTACAAAAATGCAAAACATATATTTATTACATTTATTCATAAATGCATTGAGCATGTACAATGTATGTTTATGTACCTTGCATCACTGCATGAGTCCATATTGCACAACACAACACAATTAGCTATGTACATTTTTGGTCATGACCTGAGTTTACTCTGATGACTTGCACTGAATGGAATGAGCCAGGGATGCATAGTCCGGGCAGTAGCTGCTGACAGCCAGCCTCAAGCACACTTCCAGATGATCCTCAGTCGTGGTGGAACCAGGATAGCCGTCTATTGATATTTTCATTAAAGCATTGTTTTGGGAGAGGTTGTCCTCTCAAAATCTGGTTCAGTGAATTTGTCCATTTGGTTTGTTTTCATTCCGAGTGAACTTGGTGATTCAGACTTCGGGGATCAGAGGTTAACGAGAGGGACTTCTGCTTCTTAGGGCCCCAGCCTTCTGGCTTTGTTGCCCACAAGGATAAACCTTCAGTGTTTGTCCTTCCTACTCTGTTTCGACAGGTGTTGGGGTCCCTGCTGATCATGTTTGTGATCCAGTGGACCTACACGCTGGTAAACATGAGTGTCGCTGCCGTGTTATATTTCTACATCAGCCGAACCAGCCCAGGGCTCCACCTTGGTAAGCAGCCTGGTATTTTCTGTCCATCTACCTTCCTCCCATTTAGAGTTCATTGGCAAAGAAATGTTTTGAAAACCTATTAAACGTCAACACTGACTCAACATCTGAACCTTATTTTCATACAAAGTCTAGGAGGGCCAGTGTGAGAGCCACATAAACGACTTTGATATAAAATAGTAAGAGACCTACGCTGTGAGAAGACAGAGAGAGGTAAACAGTGTATTAATATCAGGGGTGCAAGAAATTGATTTCATCCGAGACACTCAAGGGAGGATTGTGGGGAGGACCTCACTTGCTCACTCATCCAACTACTCTTTAATGAATGCTGACCGTGCCAAGTATTATTCTAGGTGTTGGGGTTATGGCCACAAACAAAACAAAAATCCCAGGCACTAACCTTCAAGGATGGGGGAAGATTGATAATGAAAATAAATAAGTAAATATATGTTGACTTCTGAAGGATGCTGGCTTTGGACAGGTGGGATCCGGGCACGAGAAGGCATTCCAAAGGAAAGGGACAGCAGAGGAGAAGCCCTACAGCGGTGTGGCAGTTACATAATCTGTTGTCAATTTGAGACTTAAGAGTGGAGGGGTGGAGTCTGGCCTGTCAATCAGGTCACAGCTTGATGACCTCATTTGGAGGCGCTAAGGAGATAAATAGCTTGTTGTCAATTTGAGACTTAAGAGTGGAGGGGTGGAGTTTGGCCTGTCAATCAGGTCACAGCTTGATGACCTCATTTGGAGCCACTAGGGAGACAAATAGCTCGCTGGAGGCTGGACACAGGCATATTCCCTGCGAGACATTCCTGTTGAGAAGACACATGGAGCTATGCTAGGGCCCTGCAGCTAAAAGAGCCACGTGGAGACCCCTGCCAACGCTGAGATACCACCACTGTCACTGGATCCACAAGACTTTCCACCCACTGGCTTGTGATCTTCCTGCATACAGTGTCATTGTGTGTGTTTCATGAGTCTGGAGAGGACATTTTAGATTAATATTGGACGTATGGGCTAATATCTGACTTAAGGACTTTATCTGGACTGGGCTGGGATGTTTTCTCAATGTTCAATTGCTCTTGTATATAAAGCTCTTTCTTATACACATATGACTATCTATGAATTTGTTTCTCTAGTCTACCCAGACTAACACAAGTGGGCAAGTATAGGTTATGAATGGCATGCTGTCATTAGTAATTATGGGTCTGGGTTGGTTAACTCTGGTTAGAATGCCAAGGAGACTATTGACAGTTGCCTAAGATGGGTATCAGGGACCCTTCAGAGAGGCATGGGAGTAAAGTTGATGGAAAGACGTCAGGTGTGAACTTCTTACACAGAATCAAACACCTGATGGAATGAGTCATTAGGCCTGAGGGTGGTGCTCAGAACCATAGTGTTGGGAGACACCATGGTCAATTGGCCCAACTTATTTCACAAGGACATTTTTCTATATCCTTCTTTGTTGAGTAACTACTGGGGTCTTAAAAGCTCATGAAAAGCCATCCAACGTGCAAACACAGTCTCACCCCATCCAGAGGAAAGACGAGTGATGGCAATCAGAAGACATAGGGAAACAATTAGCCCAGAGGATGAATGAGCCATGCAAACACTAGTCTTCAGAACCCTGAGACCAGCAGAACCAGATGGTCAAATGCTCTGAAAAGGATCACTTTGGAAGGTCCTGGGTGGAGTGTGAGGAAAATGTGGAAGAGCTCAAGATCATCAAAATCATAAGTTAAAAAAAGGCACAAGTACCGAGGACTACAGAAGCTGGAGGGAAGACGCACAGAAAAGCACTCTGTCCCTGGGGATGGCAGGGTAAAGACAGCCTGGGCTTGGACAGGGCAGCAGAGATCAGCATCCTGAGTAAGAAATCGCAACCACGTGCGTTCATTCATCTTTTTCTAATGAATGAAAACTCCCACCTGTGGTATGTTAGGTCCTGTGCTGAGAGAACACCTGGGACTCTGACCTCAGCACTATGGGCTACAGGCAAGCAGATCTAGAAATAAATATTAATTTCTCTGCCTACTTCAGTTTAAAAACACTCGTTGAAAGGGCGAACAAAGTAATTTAACCATATTCCAGAACAAACCTCAAAAATACGTATATGGATACAACATCTAGCACTCAGCTCGATAGAATTGATATCATTTGGTATCTAACCCAAATTGTCGAGTCATCAAAGTGGAGAAAGCTCATATAAATGAGGAGGAAAAAACAAGCATTTTAAAATCTACGTATTACACATAGGATTGAAAGAGTGTAGAAGAAACCACGTTGCAAAGCAGTTTGGCAGTTTATTTAAAACTGAATTGTATTATTTGTATAATTCATTGTAATTCATTGTATGTCAGCCAGATGACCACATTCGGGTCATGCTTACCTCGTGCTGCTACAACAGAAAGACCACCATGGGTGGTTGTAAACCAACAGAAGTCTTTTTTCCTCACAGTTTGGGAGATTCTAAGTTGGAATTTAGGTCTCTGGGTCTGGGGAAAGGCTGTTTCTCTGCTAGCTCACGGTAGGAGGAAGGGCCTAGTCTCCTTTCAGAATCCGTGGCCCAGCGTTCCCTGGAAATTTCTGTGTCTTGGCATCATTCTTCCCTGTCTCAGCATAGGAACCTTGGGTCCAAAGGATATGCTCTGCTCCCCTGCCAATCCACTGAGGCTCGTGGCCCAGCCAAGTTGACACATGTTCTGAGGGGGATGTAATTCAATCCCTGACCCAGCCATTCTATTTTCAGGTAGTTACCTAGAGAACGGAGGGCCCATCAGCATGTAAAAACATTACATGAATATTCATAGTTGCTTAATTTATAATGACCAAATCCTGGAAACAGCCCAAATGCCCATCAACAGGTAGCTGGGTAAGGATCATTGTACATTCATATAATGAAATACTGGTCGGCAACAGAGAAGAATAAACTGTTGGTATATGCAATATCATGTATTCATCTGAAAATTAGGATTAGCTAAGTGAAAGAAACCAGATAAAAATAGTAAGTAATATTGAAATCCCCTGATTTTATTAATTAACCAGCTGAATTTAGCTTCTGTATTTTCCTGCTTATGCTGAACTACTTTTATGTTGTTCCTCCCCCCCACCTGCCCACCCCACCCCCAGCATGACTGGTTGTAAAATCATTAGTGGCAGGCCATACAACCACACCCTCAGGGCTGCATACTTTGATGAAGCGCCCTAAGGCTCATTTGCTAACCTGCTGACTCTCCCTCCTGTGTTTTTCCATTGCTTAAGCTTGGTTATTTCCACATTGGTTGTCCCCACTCAGAGCCACCAGATTAAAAAATTTGGCGGGCTGCTACCTGCACCCATAATGGACACCAGCAAGAAGTTCCATGCCCCTAGTCTGCGTGTGCAGTTGTGATAGGACACAAATTCACCTCTCCCGCTCATGGTGTGTTGCTTTATAAACGGGAGTAGTGCTTGGGGCCAAGAGGTTATTGAGCGCCAGCTGACTGACTCCCTGCCCCCGGCTCCAATAATGCTTTTTCCTTTAATCCTTTTCGGTGCGCTCCGATGAATCTCGAGACCCGGATATCACAGTGTATGATTTCATACATCTGTAATGGTTGAAAGGAAAAGCTCATCTGTAGGGGGGGGCAGATCAATGGTTACCTTTGGATCGGGCTTGAAGGCAGAGATGGGTGAAGGAGGTCGGATGAAGGGGCCTGAAGGAACTTTGCATCATGATGGATATGCTTATTATTTTGACTGTTCTGATGGTTTCACAGAACAAGGCTTATTAAATTGTACACTTTAAATACGTGTTAATTATGCCTAAGTAAAGCTGTCAGAAATATACGAAAGTCCCTGTCAACAAAATTCTGCCCTCATTCAAAATAAAGCAATTACTTTCAAGCCCTAACTAAGTCAGACGAACCCTAACAGTCCAGGCTGACCGAAGAAAAAACTTTTCCTTCAAGTTAGAAGCAAGTTATTCAAGCGGTTCAAGTTGGAAGCATCCGATATATATTTTTGAAAGAGACCCTCTTCAAACATCTTGAGTCACAAGTTTACTAAAAACAATACTTCATGCAATTGTAACACTAAGACGTCCTGATATAGCAAATTTAGTGGAAGGAATGTGTTTTAATTAGTATGGGTCTAGTTATGTTTTTTTTTCAGTGATGGATTCTGAGTTTCTTCAAAAACACTCCACCTTGGAAAATTTAAACCTATCTCAGAGACCTATTATAGGAAAGTGTGAAATGAAATTTCAAGATAGCCTCTATCTAAAATTTAGGTAATTTAGAATCTCAATCATTACAAATAATCAAGTTTAGTCAATAAATTATCTATGCTAATTTCTCCTGATAATCTCTAAACATGAGGCAGCTTCAAAAAGTACCTTGAAAAATTCCATTATCCTTCAATCCCATTTTTCCCATGAACTTTTTGAGCCTTCTCAAATGAGAGGAATCTTCTCTTTATAACTGCAAATTTTAGCATAAGTCTAAAATTTATTCTTCATCTAGACAGATCATTTTATAAGAATCCTAAATTATTCAGAATAAACATGTTGCCAGCTGCATGCTGTTGACATTTGCCAATTCTAACATAAGCCTCTTAATGCTGATGTCCTGACCATATGATATGTTGGATAGTGTCCAATTCATCAATTTTTTAACCACCAAAAATCGGCTGCCATTGGGTCAATTCCAACTTTTAGCCACCTTGTCTAGGGTGTCCAAGGCTGTCAATACGTATAAGAACAGGTAATGTCATCTTTCTCCTGCAGAGCGGCTGGTGGTCTTGAACCGCCAACCTGGAGGTTAGCAGTGCAGGATGCAATCAGTGTAATTTTGAAAAGCATTACATAAAATGACATTTGATTTGATATTTTAAAGTTACGTATAATTTTTTAATATAATTTGTTATTTATAAAGCGCTCACATCAAAGGGATGGCAAAAAGCAACAACAGTGTATAAACGGATTCCAATCCATGTGTAGGATACCAGGGTTATCAGTATTGACAGTTATCTCACTTCAAACTTCAACTCTTAACATCGCTGCATGTTGAGAGCTATCTGACCCACTGGGCACTTGCTGAAAATCGCTGAGCACCAGGTCCTGTGAGAGAGTGGGACTGCAGGTGAAGAAAACATGCCCCTCTCCTCAAAGAGGGGCTGTAAGACATGTGTTGAACATAGACCAGTGAGAATGTCGAAGAGAAATATAATCACCATTAAAAAAATCCTGAAGATTGAAGTTAGCGAGTCTTCTGGTCCTGTGTTCTTTTCCCAATAACATTGTATCCGGTTTCTTGGGATTTACCAGTTCAGAAATAAACTTTTGGAAAGAACACATGATGGACACAAGGTCCTTGAAAGGTTGCCATCAGGGAGTGTTGCGTTGAATGTTTGCTTAGACTGAGCAGGAAACATACTTGTGTTCATCCCCTATGTGTGAGACGTCTATTTATTCTATGAGTTCTAGGATTCTAGATGGGTCTATAGACCCTTCATAAATACTTATGTGTATTTATTCTCTTCAGGATCAGCCTCCAACTTCAGCTTTTTTGGATGGGTGAAGTCTCTTCTGATCCCCTCTTGCAGGTCTGTGCCAATCTGGGGTCATCACCAGGTGAATGAGTGACCCCCGGGTTCTGGGAGGTACTAAGGGCTGGACGTGGGCTTGAATTATCATGAAGAAACCTGGCAGTTGAGAACCCTGAGGAGACACAGGCTTGGCTCCCCACTGCTGCCCATCACACCCAGCGGCAGCTTGTCAGATGCTTCCTCTGGTGCATGTCCCCGACATCGCAAAGAAGGATGTTCTTTAGAAGCTCATGACTGAGGGACAGCTCAGTCAGTGAGCCATTGATGGCACAGTGGCAGAGTCCTTGCACTCCACACAGGAGACCTGAGTTCGGGTCCTGGCTCCTGCACAATACTCAGCCACCCCCCTTCTGTCAATGGAGGCTTGACGTTGATTGTGGCTGAACAGGTGTCAGCAGAGCTTCCTGGCTCTGAAGTCAGCTCTTCTGAAATGAATCTAGTTACTTCAGCTTCTGGGTGACTAGTGTTAGCATGGTTTATCTTCCTACCTCCATTCATTTTTAATCTGAGGAAACCTGGTGGTTTAGTAGTTATGCATTAGGCTGCTCACCATGGGGTCAGCAGTTTGAAGCCACCAACTACTCTGATGGAGAAAAATGAGACTCTCTGCTCTTGTAAAGAGTCACAGGCTCGGAAATCCACAGGGTCAGTTCTACCCTGTCCCACACGGTCGTCATGAGTCAGCATCCAATCTGTGGCGCAGAACTTTTACTTTTAATCTATCTCTGTCTTTATGTTTAAAATAGATGTATTGTAGACGACATATTGGGTCTCATGTTTTTAAGTGCTGTAACAGCCCTTTTAAAATTTTCTATACAGATCATTCACATTGAAAGTGATTATCAATATAATTGGATTACTGTTGACTGCATTTATAATTCTTTTTATTCATTGCCCTGATTATTTTTTGTCTTCTTTTTCCCCCTGCCTTCTCTGGTTCTAATTTAGCATTTTATATGATTGAATTTTTTCTCTCCTTTTTTAACAAATCAACAAAATTTCTTCTTAAAAAAAGTTTAGTGATTACCCTGCATTTTCAATATACATTTACACCTAATCTAAATCCACTTTCAAATAATACCACATGACTTTCCAAGCAGTACAGATACCTTAAAGTCTTTTCAGTGTCTTCTCCTGTCCCTTAGGCTATAACAAGAATTCATTTACTTATCTGTGAACTATGCTCATCTATTAGATTGTTGCTAATATTACTTGAACATGCGTATCTGTTAGACCAATGTTTCCCAAAGTGAGCAACACTTTGTGAAATAGATTTATTGTAGACAACATATTGGGTCTCGTGCCTCTGGGGCCCTGGAATGATCTTGAAGGGCTATACAAGCAGATACCTAGCCTTTACTCTGGATGATGGGCTCTAGTCAAATGCTTTTTATTGCCAGGGGGTCGCTCACTGAGTCCTTTTGTTTTTCCCAGAAAAGGAGGCAGTAGTCCACATAAATTTGGGGACCTATGTGTTAGAACAATTTTATTTTATTTTATTTTATTTTTTTCTTTTTCTGCCTTCCATTTTTATTGTCCAGCTTTTCCACACACGTGTGATGCTGGAAAAGACCATGCCCAGCACACAGTAACATCACAAAGTGACACCCTTGATTTGTCAGCTATCTCAAAGAGGTCTCTGCAGCAGATTTGCCCAATGTAATGTGCCATTTGATTTCCTACTTGCTGCTTTAATGGACCTTAACTGAGCCAAGCAAATAGAACAATTTTAAAATAGAAAACTATTTTGTATCACCTTCACTGAATTCTTCACACATACACTCACGCAGGAATCCAAGTTTCTGACTTACATTATTTCTTTCTTTATAAAGACTTCCTTTTAAAATTTCTAGCAAGGCAGGTCTGTCACTGATAAATTCCTTTACTTTTCAGTTCTCTGAAAAAGTATTTAATTTTCCTTCACTTTTGAAGGTTAATTTTGTTGGATATGAAACTTTAGGTGGTTAGTTTTATTTCTGGTATTTCTCCCCACCCATCCCCCAATACTAAACATGTCAGTTCATTCTTTTTTCTTGTATGGCTTCTGAAGACAAAGCAAATCACTGCCATTGAGGTGATGCCAGCTCATAGCAATCCCATAGGACAGGCTAGAACTGCCCCGTGAGTTTCTGAGACTGGAACGTTTTACGGAAGCAGAAAGCCCCATCTTTCTCCTGCTGAGTGGCTGGTGGTTTCCAA